CAGCGTTCAGACACCAGCAGCTCTCGGAGTCCTTTACACTTTTACCACCAATGGGTGATGGGGAAAGCACTGCTCCAGGGGGGTTCCCCGGAGTGGACCCTGGAACTAAGACCTGGGAATGTGGGGATGTGGTGAGAGGGTGGCCCAGAGTCTGGGCCCAGAGCTCAAGGGCGTCACTGCGCTAGGGCAGCTCAGACCCGGACTCCACAGCGAAACCCTCAGACCAACCGAGAAGCAGTATTCCTGGCGGGCTGAGCTGAGCTGAGCACGCATTTTTCTCAGGACTCTAGAGCTCCTAGGGAAAGAAAGGGACTCGCGGCTGGAGATGTAGTCTTTATATATATATCTTTATTGGTTTTAGGGAGAGGCAGAGAGAGAGGAAGGGAGAGGGGGAGATAGAAACATCAACAATGAGAGAGTTGTCATTGATCGGCTGCCTCCTGCACACCCCCGACTGGGGATCAAGCCCGCAACCCCGGGCATATGCCCTGACCGGGAATCGAACCTCCCTTGATCTCCTGGATCCTAGGTCCATGCTCAACCGCTGAGCCACGCCCGGCAGGGCGAGACGTAACATTCTTAATGCGCCCTACATCTCTCCCCCAAGGTGTAAACCCGTTGCAAATTGTCCGGGAGTGGAAGGGGTTGGATAGCTCTGTACTTCACAATTAACCAGGAATGGGAGGCTTGGGCAAGTTTGTTTGATGGAAGAAAAATTCTAGCTTCGCCCATTCAATTCATTCAACAATTATCGAGCACCTACTACTTGCCAGACAGTAAGAGCCTAGTTTCTTCCCATTTTTCAAAGTCCCTAAAAGCGACAGAAGGCAGAAGGCAAGCCCAGAACCTTGGAGTTCTGGCTCCGCCCCTTCTGCGTTTTGGCCTTGCTTGCTCCTCCCATCACACTTCTCTAAGAACCATGCACTGGCCCAAGACAATAAAAGAAGCCAGTCTCTGCTGCATCATTGCCTTCTTTAGACTCGGATCTCGAGCCCTGTAGCGGAGAAGGCGAGATCTAACGTTACAACACCGGTCTGTTCTGTCTTCAGTAGCCGCAGTTTCGGGATCCTTCCGGAACGCTTTCAGATAGGCTCCTCAGTGAGACGGCACTCGATTGAATCAGTCTGTCACTACAGCCCAAGAAGGCGGGTTCACCGCAGCTGCTCCAAAGCCAAAGCGAGAAGACCGTACTGCGCACGCGCAGTAGACAGCCGAAGGAGCCACAGATGGAGCCGTCCGGAGGGGAGCAAGAGCCCGGAATCGTCAGGTACCTAGCACCCGAGGGGCCGAGAGAGTGAGAAAGGACCTGGGGGAGGGGAGTTGACCCGGGACCCGGCCTGGAGGCCAATCCTAGGAGCCAGGGCGCAGGAGCATAACGGAGGCGGACTCGCAGGTAACAGCGGTCCGGGGACACCGCTGCCAACGCCCTTTACCCATAGGCTCCTGGACCTGCCTTGGGAAGACGTGCTGCTCCCACACGTCCTGAGCCGGGTTCCCCTGTGCCAGCTGCTCCAGCTGCAGCGCGTCAGCCGTGCCTTTCGGGCCCTAGTGCAGCTGCACCTGGCCGGGCTGCGCTGCTTTGACGCTGCTCAGGTGAGCCGGAGGCCGGAGCCCTGCTCGGGTCTCGGTGCCGCCCCCCGCCCCGCCCCGCCTCCAGCCCAGCCCCCAGTCCCTCTGTTTACGGTTCCGGACTTTCTTGCCCTTCCTGGAATGCCGGGGGAACGATCCACCAAGCGGGAAGTACTCTCAAAGGGCGAGTACTGGGTATCAACTCAGAGTGCGCGTGGGGTCTCTCCTGGGAGGGCAGGTGGCAAGCCCCAGAGGGCAGGCTACTGCCAGGAAAGAACTCATCTGGGGCGGATAGACAGCGCCCGCCCCGTCCCCAGCACCAGCTGAGAGTCGAGGTGCCTCCCCGCCCGCAGGTTGGTCCGCAGATCCCGCGGGCTGCATTGGTCTGGCTGCTGCGGGACGCCGAGAGGCTGCAGGAGCTGGCGCTGGCACCTTGTCACGAATGGCTGTCGGACGAGGATCTGGTGCCGGTGCTGGCGCGGAATCCGCAGCTGCGGAGTGTGGCGCTGGCCGGTTGCGGACAACTGAGCCGCCGCACGCTGGGAGCGCTGGCCGAGGGCTGCCCCCGCCTGCAGCGCTTATCCCTTGCGCATTGTGACTGGGTAGACGGGCTGGCGTTGCGCGGTCTCGCGGACCGCTGTCCGGCCCTTGAGGAGCTGGACCTCACCGCCTGCCGTCAGCTCAAGGATGAGGCCATCGTGTACCTGGCGCAGAGACGCGGCGCAGGGCTCCGCAGCCTCTCTCTGGCGGTCAACGCCAATGTGGGGGATGTTGCGGTCCAGGAGTTGGCTCGGAACTGCCCGGAACTCGAGCACCTTGACCTAACTGGCTGCCTCCGCGTCGGAAGTGACGGTGTCAGGTGCATGGGCCTGGGGCTGGTGGGATGGGAGGAGGGCAAGCACTTAGCCTCTGGGGGTAGAGGTAGACAGTAGTCAAAGATAGAACTGGGGTTTCTGGATATTCCTGTTACCACAGCACCCTCATCCTGAACAGGAAAGGCCTCTAGGATTGCCTAGACCAGAAAGTCCACAGTTTAGAAACTTTGTTGAACCAGTATTTATTTACACATTGGCAGTTTTCACCTAGTCAGATTCCTGGCTTTTCTTCAACCAGAGGTGCTGAGGAGCAGTAACGCTTTTAAGAGACAGGAAGTCTCCGGTTCACTGGAGGCATTAAGCATATGACCCCGATCCAGACCCCTTCCCTTGTGTATAGAAGAAAAAAGTATGCCCCAAGATAGTGAGATACATAGGGGCTCTGCTGGCTTCCCCCACTATGGGTGTAGGGGTTTCACGCCCTCAGCCTCACTCCACTCATCCCTCAGGACTTTGGCAGAATACTGCCCAGCGCTGCGTTCACTCCGAGTGCGGCACTGCCACCATGTGGCTGAGCCCAGCCTGAGCCGCTTGCGGAAGCGCGGTGTGGACATCGACGTGGAACCACCGCTGCATCAGGCCCTGGTGCTGCTGCAGGACATGGCAGGCTTTGCACCCTTTGTCAACCTGCAAGTCTGACCCACCCACTGATGGGGCACAGCTGGACTGTGTGTCCGGGCCTGACTATGAACTGTAGGAAATTGGACTATGGGGGCCTCTAGTAAGAGGACAATGTCCTACCCCACTCTGGAGCTTCAAATAAAGTTTTTTACCCCCTCCTGCCTGGCGCTGCCCTGTTGGAGAAAGGGGATGTGAGGTTGGAAGAGAAGGTCAGGCAGACACAGTCCCCCAGCACCCCAGTTCTGGGGCATAAATGACCAGAATACACTCATCTTCTTGGGGCCACCTTTACTGTGCCCATGGGCAGCTCCAAGAGGTTAACATGGTGGGGCAAGGAGGTAAGAGAAGATGTAGAGAAGGGGTCAGGATTAGGATGGGCCCTCTGGTGGTGTAGGGCTCCTGCATCCCTCTGGGATCTGATCTAGAAGGCTCTAGCAGAATCTGGCGAATGCCTCAGTGGAAGCGGTATTTTCTGGCTGGCTTGAGGTTGATGTATGTAGCCTTCATCTCCTCGGCCTCAGGGTTCCGCACATCTTTGAATCGCTCCCCCTTGGTGCTCACTACCTGGTTGTCGATGTATCGGATCAGCTTCTTGGGGGCCTGTCAGGCAATTAGTGAATAGCAGAAGCCAGGAGACAGTCCCACCCATTCCACACCCCTGGCAGCCCCAACTCTCTCACCTCCTTGGGAGCCATGGGCCTGTGAATCTTCTGATCCTCTGCGCTATCCACCATCATATACCTGGGGAAAACTGGCTGGTTGAAGCTCCTGCCACCCTGGGAAAACCCTTTAAGAGCCCAGCCCAGCCCAGACTCACTTCTGCAGGATGAAGGACTTCAGCTCATCCTTTTGGGGGCCTCTGAGGCGCCTGGGCAAGTCCTACAGAGGGGAAAGCCTCTTACTAGGTCACCAGTAAGAGAAGCATATGGTGATAGGACAGGGGTGGGGGCTTTACACTAAGGTGCAATGTAGCTGGGGCTACATGGGTTAGGGGGCATACAGCAGAGGATACCTGGTTGGGGCTATCCCAGGCTGGAGGCCCCTCCTCCTTCCCCTCTACCAGCATCTGCACAGCTTCTTCCAAGTCCCCCCGAGCTTTGGCCAGGACCCACTGGGCCTGCTCCACCGAACAGGTAGGGAACACCTCCAGGAGTACATCCACCCCGGGCAGCAGCTCCTCCTCAGCACTGGCTGCCTGTGGGCATAAATGTTGACAAAAGGCAGTACTTCCTCCTTTTCTGTCCCCTAGCTCCCTCATTAGTACCCTCCTCTACCAACCTCATCTTGGGTGTCCCCAGTAGCAGGAGAAGCCCTAGTCTCTTCTTTGAGCTTTTCAGGTCGCTGCAGGGGCTCTGGAGAGATGGGCACCTGACACTGGACCTCAGAATTCTGTGGTTGCAGGTTCTCTTAAAGAGGCAGAGAGAGCGCCAGGTTTGCCAGAGCTTTGAGGATGAGGGTTATAAACCATCCAAGTGCCTGATCCCCAGACTCACCTTTGTTCCTGGCACCACTCAACTGCCCTGAGAGCTTCTGCATCATGTCCCCTACTGTACCCCTGAAAAAACAAGGAGGATGGTAAGAAGACAACTCTGCCCACCCTCCACAATCAGCTAGTACCCCTCCTCTTGGTCCCACGCAGGCCCCACCTTGGGATGTGGGCAAAGCCAGGCACATAGGCCTCCATCATCTCAGTGAAGGCCTCCATATCAAAGTTCTCATCTGACGGGCCTGAGGGGCCCAAATCCTCCAGGACCCCGAGAACATAGGAGAAGATGACCTCATCCAAGCCGCTGCAAGAAGGGGACAGGACAAGCAGTGGGTAAAACATTGGATACTTCCAGCACTCCCATCTAGCCTAAGGCTCCAGCCCTTGCCTTCATGGTGTCCATGAGCCACACCTCAAGCCTTAAGGCCAGAGACTATTCCACCCTCCCTTAGAGCTTTGGTTTCCCATTTGTCCAACAATGGTGACGGACAGGGTAAGAAGGCCATACAGCAAATCATAATCAGCCCTCCCCCACCTCCGGAATAGGGCTGAGTGATCCCATCCCAGTCTTTCCATTGGCCATGGCCCAGATACTGCCAGGCAGCTCCAACCCTAGCCCTAGTGTGATCCTTTTAGGAGAGCTGCTTCTACCTGAGGTCAGCCTCTGGGAGGTGCGTCTGGACAAAGGCAAGGAGGGCTGCACTGACAATCCTCTCCAGCTCCATTCTCTCTCCTCTTCTGAAGGGACACAGATGTAGGTTTATCAGGCCCTCTCCTGCCTGCCCCTACCCACTAGGCCCAGGGGCGGTCAGCTCCTCCCTCCTGCCCTGCTGTGGAAACCATTTGTTAATGTTGCTCATAGCTTCCAGCTCTCCAGCCCTCCCTCACTCCCTCAAGCAGAGCCATAGCCCTCTCCCTGCCCATCTCTCCACCTCCTCCAGCCTGAGACAGGGCAGGGTACTGTGTTAGGAGAAGGTTTCCAAAGTGACAGTTCCCCTCACCCCTCCCTCTGACCTCTCTCCATCTCCCCACCCCATTCCCCGGCAGCAGGCACAGACCCTCTAGTAAGAAGCCAAGGTCTTGAGGTCACATGCCTTCTGGTTGAGGAATCCTATCACTGAGAGGGCCACTTACCCCCAAGTCTAACCACAAGGGGCCCATTGTCCAGCCCCCTAAGGAGCAGGCTTAAGGACACAATCCTCCCCACCCCCCAAGAATGGCCACCCACGTTCTGGCACAAAGGGGCTTTTCTGGCTCCAGGGCCTAGATAGAAGGGGTAGTCTTCCATGAATTCTCTTCCTGACTAATCCTTGCCCTTCTAGTAGCTTGGGACTATCTACAAAGGACTTTCCATCTTCCTTTCAAAGGCCTATGGAGCCCTAAAGATCTACCCCTCCAACCTCCCCATTCCTTCCTCACTCCCTCCACTCCCACCTGACCAGCCTCCTTGCTGTTCCTCAAACTTGCTGGGCTTCTTCCTATCTCCTCCAGATATCCACATGGCTCATTCCCTCACCTCCTCCAGGTTGCCTCTTCAGAGAAACATTCCCTGACTAACCTACCAAAATAAGTATTCCTCATACTCCCTAATCCCTTACCCTGCTTTATTTTCTATATAGCTTTTATTACATTGTAATGTTATTTTATGTTTATTTGCCTATTGTCTGTCCTCCCCCATAGAATGTAAGTTCCAAGAAGAGGGAGGAGGGAGGACTTTGTCTTATTCATTGGTATAACCCCAACACCTAGAAAAAGGCCTGCACATAGTACGTGCTCAATAAATACTTATTTATTTATTTCATTCCCACCTACATATGTCTCCCAAGTCTGTATTTGGGAGTCAGGAACACATAGATGGTAATGAATGGCTCCAGACCCATAGGTCCAAATGTCAGCTCTCCGTCCCACTCAGAAGACTCAGAGGCACCTTAAATTCTACCTACTCCAAACTCACTATATTCTCCCAATATACATTCCCTCTCCAAATATGCACCTTCTCCTGTTTCACCAGCTGATACAAACACTCATTCACTCAGTTGCCAACCCTGAAACTTGGGGATTACCCTTGATTTCTCCCTCTCTCAACCCCACCTGCTGCACTCAATCAATACCAAGTCCTGTCCATTCTACTCCCTTATTCGTCTCCATTCTATCCACTTCTCCCCAAGTTGTCTGGCTTCTGCTCCAATATCTCTACCAACATTTCTTAGGCTAGGTCATTAGTTACTTTTTCAGGTTTTGCTCTAATTAGATTGAACCATATGAGCTTGCCAATATTGCTTGATTTTGATTTACAAAGTAAAAAGAAAGGGTGTGGCTCAGCAGTTAAGCATCGACCTAGGATCTAGGAGATGGAGGTTCGATTCCCGGTCAGGGCACTTGCCTAGGTTGTGGGCTCGATTCCCAGTCGGGGGTGTGCAGGAGGCAGACGATCAATGACAACTCTCTCATCATTAATGTTTCTATCTCTTCCTCTCCCTCTCCCTTCCTCTCTCTGAAACCAATAAAGATATATTTTTAAAAAAAAATTTTTTTTAATTAAAAAAAAAAAAAAAGGATGTGTGCCCTTCCAAGCAGTATTAACGTTGGTTTCTAAGGCATCACACTCTCCTGTTTTCCTTCTACCTCTCTGGCCATTTCTTCCCAGGGTCCTCTCTCTGCTACCCTGTAAATGTGACAGCAAAGCTCAGGCTCAAAGTTGTTCCTCCTTTCTTCTTACTCTGTACCCTCTCTCTCTGGAGGATCTCATCCAGGCCCACATCTTTATGTACCAACTCCATGTCACCAATTCCCAAATGTCCAATCCTCTAGACCAGTATCTTCTGTGGCACACCCAAGTCTTTTACTCCTCCAAAGCTGTCTTCAGTAAATGCATGTCCACACACCGGGCTGTTCCTGTCACAAGCGTGGGAATTATCTTTGACAACCTTTCCAGATCCAGTCACCAAGCCCTGACAATGTATCTCTCAACACATCTACTTCTCTGCATTTCTACTTCCACTCTGCTCCATCTCTTAACTGCAAGAGCTTCCTCACACTTCTCCCCACTACCATCTTTCACCCAATAACCTATTCTCCACAAAAATCAGTTGTGTGACCATTACAAAAAAATGTTTTTCCTGCTTGAAATCTATCAGTAACTTCCCACTTCCCTTCAGATAAATCCAGATTCTTTTTGTGGTCTTTGATTCAGGGCCATACCCCTGCCTACCTCTCTCTAGCCTCACTATGCACCACATCCTCCCGGGATCGCACTCATGTCCACTCTGGCTTTCTTTCAACTTGCCAACACTCAAGCTCTTTGGTGGCAAAAGCCTTTCTATGAACTGTCTCCTCTACCTAGGCAACCTTCCACCTCCACCCCTTCACTTGTCTAATTCCTTCAGGTCTCAGTTTTAAATTCCCTTCCTCAAGGGACGTTGTCCCTTACCCTCTAGAACTGGTTTGGGTCCCTGTATATACACTCTCATTGCAGACTGCCTTTTCCTCACTTACCAGCACCTTTCACAGCTACTTGGGCAATGTTTAATGTTTCTTCCAACTGTTTCATGAGGACAGGGACTACACTTATTCATCAATGTACACTCAGTATGTCCTGTGAACTAGATACTCAATAAATAGTTACTGCCCGCTTTACAGGTGAAGAAAAGGAAGCTCAGTGAGTTTAATTACTTGCCCAGAGTCACTTGGCTTGACTGTGGTAGTCAAGACTTAATTTCAGGTCACCTAGTTAAGTGTATAATCGAGGGGCTACTCTGGGGATAGGAGGATAACAAGACTTCTCAGTGGGTTGAGACAGGACTACCATCTATGATCAGTTTCCTGGTCCCCTGAGTGTAACACAGAGTTGCTATGACAGCACAGGGGTCACTTTGGACAGCAGGACTGAGAAGCCCTAGCCTAAGGGCAATGCCTGCCCATTGCTCCAGACCTTAGCATGGGCCCTGGGAAGGAGCCGAATTTCTCAGACCAGGCATACCAGATCACCTCATGCAGCTTCCCCAAGAGGTCAGCCACCTTCAGAGACCACATCTACCATGGGTTACAACAAATCATGGTTGCTGACAGTTGCCTGGCAACCTCTGCAGGGACAAATGCCCATGGATGCTGAATGAAAGCCCAATTTCTAGGGAAGAAGCTTTAAGGAATGTGCCTGATGCCTCTAGGTTTCTAACCAAGGTCTGAGGGCCAGGGAGTTGTTATTGGGAAACTCCTCAGCATGCCCAATGTCTTCCTCCTCTGAACTTTCGGACTACCTTGTCTCCTAAGGAAACATCCTCCCTCCTCCTGTTTTTGAGCTGCCTAAACTCTACCCAGCCTTCAAAGTTTGCACTTCTTTCTTTCACCCTTCTCCATCCCCCTAGCCTTCCTCACTTCTTTCCTGCCCAGAGGCTTCTCCTAACATTTCTCTCCACAGTCCCTGGGAAGTTGCAGCCTGGGCAGCCAGCATTCTCCAGGGTAAGAACATGATTTCCATAAGATTTTTCAAATTCTGGATGTAGCCCACAGAAACCCATTACTCCTGGGGGCTCTAAATCAAGACTCTCTGGTTAATGGCAAAAATGAAATGTGGCTCTTGTCCTGCCATGAGTCCTATTTAAACACCTTTGATAATAGTAATAATAGTTAGCATTTACTGACTGCTTACAATAAGCTAGGGATTGCTCTATGCACTTTACATGTATTAATTTACCTAATCCTCACAATAACCCTAAAATATAGATACCAATATTATCATTTTCTCCCATTTTACCCAAAAGGAAATAGGGAACTGACAAGTTAAGTAACTTGTCCATGGTCACACAGCGAGCAGATTTATACCCAGGCAATATGGCTCCAGAACCCTCACTGTTGTAAATCCTCCTCCCCTGCTGGGTGGGCCCTCTTGCCTACCTCACAATCTTTGCTCACACCATTCTCCCCACTTATAACATCTCCCTCTGCCTCTCGTTGTGCAGGATTCATTTCCTCCCAGCAGCCAACCCTGAAGGCCCCGTCCTCACTGCCCCCAGCTGGCCTGAGAGCATCCCCAGAACCAGGCACAGGCCTGGGCTCTCCAGATGATCCATACAGACCCTCTGGGCAAACAGCCTGGGAGGAGTACCTGGGGGAAGGAGTACAGTTCCCTTTGGGTGGGGAGGTGCTCAAGGTGGAGGGAGAACAGAAGGCCATGTGGTAACCAGTGTGGAAGAAATCCTGTGGCACTCAGAGGGTCTAGTATGGAGGTATTCACTGCTTTCCCAGCACCTATGAAGCCCGGCCCTGGGGCCCTAGTTCCCTAAGGCAGGTTCTAGAGGACATCATTGTCCCCTCACCCCGAATCAGGTCTTAAAGGCGCCAAGGGCACTGATGGGTACAAGATATTCCGGCATCCAAAGTCAGGCGGGAACACAAACGGATGGAGGGGGCAGCACAGGAAGTGGGACCGCAATGATGGCCGACCCCTGAAGCAGGAGCTCCCTAAACTGGCTAGCGGGGTATCCGAAAGGGTCCAGAATCGTGGGCCCGAGAGCATGGGGATGCGGTTGCGGCCCTGCGGGGACACGTGACGCGGGAGGCCTGAGCAAGCTGGGGTGTGCCTTGATACAGGCCAGGGCAAGAATCAGAAACGGGGGCCCGGGAGGTACCATGGGGGAACACACAGGATAGGTACCCTGGGTCAACGCTCTCTGCGCCTCTCCTCGCCCCGGGCTGGCGGCTGGAGGGGAAATCACCTGCTCCGTCGGGCGGCGCCGGCGACTTCTCCCGCGCGGTGCAGCTCTCATCCCCAGCCCCACCAACGAGATCAAAGGCGGGGCCCAGAGCGGCTCGCATCCAGAAGCTCCGCGGTAACCATTTTTGAGAAGGGCAGATGCCCACACGTGGGCGTGGCTTCTGCTCCCATTTTCCTTTGTGTCAGGGCTTTGGCGGGGCTCCCGCAGCGGCCATTTTTGTTGCGGGGAGGAAGGAGTGGAACTTGGAGGTCCGGCCAGTGGGTGGAGTCGCAGTACTATCCAGTGTCTTCCCATTCACCTCCTGTCTTCGCCACAAAGTCTCCGCCTTCAAATTCTATAGCTTTTTCCTGCTCTCCTTGTCTCTCCTGCCCTTCCACAGAACCGTGACCCCTTCCCAAATCCCAGTGCCTCTTCCCCTTCGTGTACAGTCCTGATTCAAGGTCTGTCATCCAATCCACTCAGGTTCTGACTTCCCCGCCCTATCTGTCCCCTTAGCATTCCCTTAACAGAGATGTCTCCCCAAGACTAGGGTAGGTTTACAGGGTCTGGGTCTTAGGACCGCAAAGCCGGGCTGGATTAGGGAGTGGGGGTGGAAAGAAAGTGTTCTGGGTGAGAATCGACCTGAGCTCAGATCCTGGACGCACTGCAGGCCATTCTTACCGCCAGTGCCTTCACTCCCATGTTGGCAGGGCTTCTCATTTAAGACAGGACATCTGAACTCCAGGACCCAGCAAGGCCTCAGCTTCCTCTTTCTGTTCCTGCTGCCTCAGCTTCCTGGTGCTACCCTGTGGGGAAGCCCACAGCCATCTCCTTCCCAAAACCCCCCCAGTGGGTCATGAGGGAAAGAGTTCCCCTCAAGAATGAGTTCACCCATCCCCAAACAGCAAGGATGATCCCTTTTTCAGGGCTAGTCCCCTTGAAGGATGCTGAGGACCCAGAGACTGTCCCTGCCCTCAGGAGTCACAGTCCAAAGTAGAAAGTCCTGTCCTCTCCTCTCTCCTAAGGACTTGAGGCAGTACCAAAACATGGAGAAAAGGGAGATCACTGCTCCCTCTTCCAGCCTTGTTTCTCACTGTAGCTCCCACCACCCACCAGGGTCCCCTAGCCTCAAAAGCAGCAAGATGTTGACTGCTGGAGAGAGGGGGCAGAAAAGGGGAGGGAGGGAAGAAGGGAGGGAGGAGGGAGCACATTTGGCATCGCGTCTCCCATAAAAGCACTGCCGCTGCTAGTCTGGCGCTACTGGGGTTAATGAGGGGCGTGGTAACAGCCACTTTCAACTCTGGCCAGACAGGCCCCTGGGAAGGGGATGACTGGTAGCTCCACCAGCCCCAGGCCTCTGCCAGCCTCTAAAGACTGACCATTCCTCCCCTTTCCCAATCCTTCAACCTCCTTGCTGCACCCCCACCCCCATTGCTCAATACTGATGATGACTCTTCTCTCCCTACCACCCCTATTACAGGAACTGTCTGGTTTCCTCAGCAGAATTGTCCCTAGTTTTGGCCCAAGACCCCTATAGCCATCCCTGACACTGTGCCTTTTCCCCTCCCCGTCGCCTCTTTTTTTTTTTTTTAAGGCAGTTGGATGTAACTAGATATCATCAGAAAGAACTTCCTGAGTTTTCAGGGAAAGATGATGGGAAAGACCTCTTCGGGGGAGCCTCTTAATTGCCAGCTCAAACTCTGGAGAATACCAACTGTGTAGCTGGGGTCAGAGGATGGGGTGGGCTGAGGAGCTGGACAACCACAGACACAGGACACACACAAACTGCAAAGTAGGGGCTCCAGGGAACACTTGTCCTGCTCAGTATTCCACAGCTGGCTGGATCTTAAGACACTTATTTTCTCTCACTCTCTCCTTCTCCAAGATGGGAACAGACTCCACCTGCCCTATGGGTGCTGCTTGAAGCCACACAGGTTGAAAGGAAGTAGAGTGATGCCTCCCCTCTCCCCATTCCCTCAAATGAATTTTGCAGCTGGTGTTTGGGTGCTTGGGTGTCCTTAGCTGACTGGAAAAGCTAGAAGCCTATGTTTGAGGAATTAGGCCTAAAGGGCAGGTTTCCCAGACATTAAGAGCAGAAAAAGGCCTGGCAGGCATGGCTCAGCAGTTGAGCATCAACCTAGGATCCAGGAGGCTGAGGTTCGATTCCAGTCAGGGCACTTGCCTGGGTTGCGGGCTGGATCCTCTGTCCGGGGTGTGCAGGAGGCAGCCGATCAATGACGACTCTCTCATCATTGATGTTTCAACTCTCCCTCTCCCTTCCTTTCTCTAAAATCAATAAAGTTTTTTTTTTAAAAAAAAAAAAAGAGAGCAGAAGAAGAACCCAGCTGTTTGGTCTCAAAAGCTGGGAGGGACTCAGAGACTGAGGCGAGGAAGGAGTCTCTTGGGAGGCTGGCGGGGAGCAGAAGGGGTGTCCCCACTCTTGCTTGAGGTCAGAAAGGGCTCTCTGGGCAGTGCGCCCGGCCCTCCCACACCTTC